CGTCACTATCTGTAACCGATCCTCAAGGTCTATCCATCCTCTTCTCCGACTCCAGCCAAGCCTTCGTCACCAACCCAACAATATTGCACTTGATTTGTCAAAGCGCCTCGCATGGACCGGTATGCTACAGCAAGTGCTACCTGTGATACATAGTGGGAAGAGCACAACTGCTACCGTCGGTGTAACTATCCTTTGTCGGGGAGAGTACGAGTTCGGCGCGTCTGTGGAGGAATTGCGCTTCTTGAGATCTTCGCCTGGTACGGAATCAGATACCCATCCCCAGACTCAAGCGTCTTTCCACGATGACGACGGGCCTATCAAGGATACGTTTGGTGTAGATGTGGCTAGGAAAAGACATATATGGCATGCTAAAGAAGCCTGTGTCATGAATGCTCATGGGTGATTGCTGAGATGAATAGAATCGCTTGACGATCTTCTATCCATCAAAAATGTATTCTTCAAAGTTAGCAACCCCGGCTGACAATTTGCGGGTTGGGACGAGATTTAATGGAGATCGCTATCGCCGGTTAGCGAGAAGTGTCTTAGTTGAACGATAGCTTATGTACAGATGTCAAATTACATGGCTCACGAGTGGTCTGCGAGGACGGAATCGCAGGCTAGTTCGTGCAATTGTGTATATGAATATTTGCTCCTTGATTCACCTATATCGATAGACTATATTACTGGATGCTGTTGCTTGTACATATATATCAGACAGTAGGTCAAATTCAATGTACGCTAGATTCACCAGAGTCAATCACTTGCTATGGTTGGAGTCCTGCGGATATAAGATCCCAAAGGGTCTGAGATGTTATAATTAGCTGGCCTTGATATCTGAGAGGAAGCTCGTCCCTGCGTTACGCTAGAACGTGTCGCGATTTAATTGACACGGTGTCTCCGCATTAGGATCACAACCGTGGTGCCAAACGCAACGCGGAATATAGCTAACAAGCCTATTGAACGACTGAGCATCAGATCGGCTGTGATCAGGTGAGATGTAGAAATAATAGCTCGTAGGAGCCGATGGGGAGGGCTTCTTCGTGAAGCAGCAGAGTTGACTACTAGCACAAGTCCAGTCCTTGCCAAAGCAATCTCATCAAGTCGCCGTCTCTCCCGCTTCGTTTTCTCGTGCGTTTGTAGGCATTTTATCCTTGCCGGGTGAAAGGTGCTGGTCACCATGGGGAAAGCTTAGGTATTTCCAATCCTCAATTTCTTCAATGATACACTTTAGCCTATCCCGAATACTCTCTACGGCATATGTGCCCAGAATAAGTCGGAGAGGCGGATAGGAGCAATGACCCAATTCCCACACCAGATAGGCTGCTTTCACGGCGCTGGCAGGTTGCTTATCGCCCAGCCACATTAGCATACGTTTTGCATGCGCCGCCGGCGCAGTGGGCGTGTTGTATGGCTCGCTCGGTGGCTTGACAAAAAAATGACCATAAAGGGGGAGCGGCGATGCGAGGTCGTTTTCAGACTGGCTAGCCAGCATCGCAGTATCAGACACAAGATCCCCGATGTCATCACGGCGCATGTGCCCAGGCTCCACGAGGGTGGTCTTGATGTTAAAATTGTCCACTTCGTACAGCATGCTTTCCATCAATCCTTCGACGGCATATTTTGATGCGCAGTACGGCCCTAATCCGGGAACGCCCAAGGCGCCAGATGTTGAGCTGAAGATCAGGTACCGACCGGATCTCCTTTCACGGAAATGCGGCAGCGATAGCTGAATCATGTTCAGTGTGCCCATGAAGTTTGTTTCGAACTGGTCGCGGATGTCATATTCGTCTTGATCCTCGCAGGCCCCGATCACACCGTACCCCGCGCAGTTGGCAATGATGTCAATGCGACCGAAGCGCTCGATTGTGCGATCGATGACTCGTTTGACAGTCTCTCTAACACGGACATCGCACAGTAGTCCCAGGCAGTTATCATGCTCTTCTTCGAGCTTCTTCATGCACTCCGGGCTGTTCTCGAATGTACGCCCAACAGCTGCGACCAGGTCATCGCGGGACAATGCAGTCTTGACAAGGGAACGGCCCATATGGCCTGTCGCACCGAAGATCTAAGATAAGACCGGTATGTTAGCGGCCAGGATTGCCGATATTTGGTAGCAGGCATTCCTCGAAGTATCTCGTGGGTCATACCAGCCATACGAGCGGTTTCGGCGGGTTCTGCGGTCCCGGGGGATCAGTCGTGGTGGGGAGATGGAGCTTAGGTTCTCGTGCACCGGTAGCAGAAGGTGATGATGCATTTAAGGGTTTCGGGGAGGAATTGTGAAGCTCCATCGAGAGGACACGAGACGAAGAAAAGCGAATAAAAGAAAATGGGGTCCGTTGCGGTTAAGCGCGTTGTTTGATATAAATCCAATTGAAGAATAGTTTGTTTCTATTTCTCTCCACATTGAGAAAATCCGGGGTCTCGGCATATAAATCACCGTCTCAGGCCTTACTGGTCAAAACTCCCACGGCATTTAGATCTTGGTCGTGAACCTACTAGTACACAGAGATATATATGTTATATGTACACATCTCAAGATAGACAATATTATTGTGGAATGTCATTATACTAATTCTTTTCTTTTCTTTTTTTTTTTTTTTGAATAATAAACTCTGCCCATCCCTCAAGCATGCAAATGCTACAGAACTTCAACACAGAATGCCCCGCATAAAAACGCCGATACCAGACTTAGGCAATAACAGGTTCGTATAGCATCTCAACGCGCGATCTCCCTCCGCAGCCGTCCAGCGGCACTAGAGGGAGCGGGCTCTGGCCAACCGCTCACAGTGTCATCGACCTCCTCCAGGAAACTCGTGCTGTTGTGTATGCTTGTACCAGCAAGAACCACTCGTACCCCAGGCGAACTGGCATTTACCTGAGCCACCATCTTGGCTTCCTCATAGGTGGCGCCGCCCACCATAAAAATAATGATATCCTGGGGTTTATCTCGGATGTGACCTCCACTCTCGAGAAAGGGATACTGTAGCTCCTTCAACCGGCCCTTGATCAAATTTTGAAGAGTGGCCTCTAAGCGTGGTGAGTGTTGGGTGTAGACATTCTCAACACCTTTCAGCCCTTTGAATCGATCTCGAGCACCAGAGAAAAAGGAAGTCGATTCGAACAAGTCCGAGAAACCTCCAGCAACTGGGGGAGCCTGAAGAGAATGGTGGTAGGCAAGTAGCTTGGGAATGGTATTAACTTTGTACGACGGTACATTTCCCGCGGTGACCAGTAAATCAAGCAGAATCGGCAGAGCATTATTCGGTTGTTTTTCGTATCGAATGGCATATAGTGCCACTAGACGTATCTTATTTTCAGCCGGCACAGATGGCAGTTGTATTATCCGCTGTAGATTCTACGCAGCCAGTTAGCATCATGTCCACAGCCATCTCTAGCTCGTTCAGGTCTCAAACATACCTTGAGGTCACTGGCATGGTTTTCGTTACAAGCTAAGCTTTGTTCCAATTCGCTGACATCGAGGAGATCATCCTCACCGACTCGCCGGCTGAGCTCCCCGACCAAAGTAACGTGTTTGCTGACGTTTCCAGAAAGCTTGCGAAACTCTGGATAATCCTCCACGAATCGCTTCATATCCGCAATTGACTCAATATTCATGGTGTTCTTAGTTTTGACCTGATACTGCTCAACGTATTCTTTGATATTCTGACCCAAATCGCCAAAGTTTTGGTACATATTTTTCTTAAAGAACGGATCTTGATCTTGCGAGAGGACGATTTCTCGAAGCTCTGGTCGGATTTCTGGTACGTCTCGAAGGTCAACCCTTCCGTTGTGAATACCCATCAGCTCATGAACCATTGCTTGGTACGTCCACTGGGTTAATAAAGGTGTGATGGGATCATCGCGTCGGTCTAAAACTAAAAGGATTGGTGGCGTATCGGTCTTGCGAAAATTGAACAATTGCTCTTCCTGAGTCAACTGATACCGAACTTCAGTAGCCAGCTTCTTAGCCAGCAGACTATTTTTCTCGTAGCGTATCAATGGATTCTTTTTCAAAGCTAACAGAATAGATATTACGCCCTCTGTGGCTCTCTGCAGTGCATCTGCATTCCACAGATCTGGAGAGTGACTCCACAATCGCTGTTGAGGGAAGCCGAGATTTAAGGAACACAGATCCGGGTTGACCACTATGAAGTCCGCAAAGTGTTCCTGTACCGCACGCACCACTTCATGGCTGTCTGCCTCAGCGAGGCGCTCAAGTGACGACTTGCGAATGATGTTGCTGAGATAGATGTAATATTCGCCGTACTTGGGTTCACGAAGTTCGTCGATCAAGAATTGGATGGAGCTGGGGGATGGGCGCACAAAACAGAGACAGCGCAGATGCCGCATATTCTCTCGAGCTGCATTATCTAGCCGATCGATCAGGTAGACTTCGTGGTTTAGCAGGGCGGATTGGGTGATCGCTGTCGACACAATAGTGACCTATCCACGGCATATTAGACCGCAGCCTCTTGATGGGCAAGCAACCTAGAAGGGGAGCCCCACCGTCTCACTATCCAAAAGCAATATCTTCATCTTGGCCGACGTTGAGGAGCCCGATGTCGAAGGATCCCCCGCCGTGACCATCCTGGAGATATACCCCGAAACCGCCGCGACGACGTCCATGGTGAGGATAAACCGGCCCAAGAAGGCGTTAGAGGATCACAACCGGGGAAAGTTAGTTACAAAAAAAAAAAAAAAGAAAAAAGAAGAAACTTGAATATCTCCGAGAAGAGATCATTGATGAGATATGAAGTGTGAACACTGAAGTACTAGTTGTTGTTGTTGTTGTTGTTGAGGGTGGTGTGGATCTCATAAAGAAGCGGCCCGCCAAACACGTTTGGAGTTCTTTGCTCTCCGCCTACTATTTAAATGATTAAATGGCATTAATTTACCTATGTGGCATGTGATTTCTGTTGATGTTCTCTTGATTAAATCATACGGCAGTTTCATGAACCTTTTCCCTTCTTTTCCTTCCTCGAACAACTTCTCTATATCGCGTCTACTCAATGTCGTCTATACTCGTCTAAATCCTATTCAGAGCTTGTCTCCCTATTCCTCCTCCCTCTCTCTTTCTTTCTTTTTTCTTTTCTTTTCTTTTTTTTTTCTACTTGTTTTGGTGCTGCACGATGTTACCATACGTAGATCTCCGTGAGCTTCTCCGCCAGTTAAAGTCCGCTAAGTTCAGTATCGGACAGGACTGACATGTTGCCTTTAAACTTCTAGTTTTCGAATATCCTGCAAATCTTACAGGGGCTTCCGTTGATGAACGTAAGGTCTTCCAATGGCTTCATATCTCGTCTACGTTGCTAAACTGTCACCTCTATCGCACCAGTGAAGCTTATTGCGTCATTCCTACTCTCCTACCCTCTGGCCGCGCTATTGAAAAGAATCCCAGACGCCCAGCCCTGGAAGAAGAATGCATTCATAATTGCTGTTTCATTATTCTATCTTGTAGGGCTATTTGATCTCTGGGACGGCCTCCGGACGCTAGGCTACAGTGCGGCCGGTATCTACGCGATTGCCTATTATATTGATGGGTCGTTGATGCCATGGATTGGGTTCATTTTTTTGATGGGTCATATGTCCATCAGTCACATCTATCGGCAAATCACAGATGACGCGCACGTAACTGATATCACCGGAGCCCAGATGGTGCTTGTCATGAAGCTTTCATCATTCTGCTGGAATGTTCATGACGGCCGTTTGTCCCAGGAACAGCTTTCAGACCCTCAAAAGTACGCCGCCATCAAAGACTTCCCCAGCATTCTGGACTATCTAGGATATGTGCTGTTCTTTCCGTCACTTTTTGCTGGCCCGTCTTTTGAATATGTCGATTATCGCCGGTGGATCGACACCACGCTCTTTGATGTGCCCCCGGGGACGGACCCTTCGAAGGTCCCTCCGACTCGAAAGAAGCGTAAGATCCCTCGTAGTGGAACGCCTGCCGCCAAAAAGGCGCTAGCTGGGCTAGGGTGGATTCTTGCATTCCTGCAGCTCGGGTCACTCTACAACCAAGAATCAGTCCTCGACGAGGCATTCATGCAGTATTCCCTTCTTCGACGGGTATGGATCCTACACATGCTCGGCTTTACTGCCCGGCTGAAATATTATGGAGTGTGGTACCTTACAGAAGGTGCCTGTATTCTATCTGGTATGGGATACAATGGCTTCGATCCCAAGTCGGGGAAAGTGTTTTGGAACCGGCTAGAGAATGTCGACCCATGGACCCTCGAAACTGCTCAAAATTCCCACGGCTACTTGGGGAGCTGGAACAAAAACACCAATCATTGGCTACGAAACTATGTTTATTTACGCGTCACTCCTAAGGGGAAGAAGCCTGGGTTCCGGGCCAGTCTCGCTACGTTCGTCACCAGTGCATTCTGGCACGGATTCTACCCTGGATATTATCTGACCTTTGTTTTGGGATCATTTATCCAAACTGTAGCTAAAAGTACGTGTCGCATACCTCCATTGCATCAACTTCATTCTGATCAATTTTCACAGATTTCCGTCGCCACGTTCGTCCTTTCTTCCTCAGCCCTGATGGCAGCCGGCCCACTGCTTACAAGAAATACTATGATATTGCCAGCTATGTTGTGACCCAGCTCACTTTGTCATTTGCCGTCATGCCCTTCATCTTCCTATCTTTCGGTGATTCGATCAAGGTCTGGCGTAGCGTCTATTTCTATGGCATTGTTGGTAATATCGTATCCCTTGCTTTCTTCGTAAGTCCCGCCAAAGGGTTCCTTCTCAAAAAGCTGAAAACGCGCAATAAACCCCACGTCCCCCGGGCTCTCAGCTCGGAGAACATACGACAACCAACTTTGGGTCTACCAAACGATGCAATCCAGGAATTCGATGACGCAGTTCAGGAGATCAGAGCCGAAATTGAATCCCGGCAGAGACGAGGCAGCTTAGCCAATATGCCTACAGGCGATGAATTGAAGGCTGCCGTCGAAGATAAAATAGGCCGAAGGCATTAATTAGCAATGCGATTCTCACGCTAGTTGCTTATAGTTGATTATAACCAGCTGGCTAGAGTCCCCATGTCACGTCGACCGAGCAGTTTAATATTCAGTCGCTATTTGAAGGGTTTATGATTGTATAGACTTGTTATCGTTTGGGAGAAATAGTTGGGCCTCGCGCTGTTCGCTTGCGATGGGTGTCCGTTCTTGGATGCTTCTTCCGGCCACCCTACCCCTCCATGGCGTTTATTATACAAGATCCTATTCTTGTTATTTTTTTTAATATTTTTTCTTCTTTTGCTTGTGGCGTTATCAGTAATTCTGACTCACTTTTGGATCCATCTTGAATTGAAACGTCGACATGTCTGCATATAAGTCCATTTATAGAACATAATCCTATTGCAAATACCTATCACGTAGATAGTGAGGTTGTGCGTGCCTCCGTGTATACTCGTGACTCTGGTTGGTTCGATGTGTAAATTGTTTGGTCTCGGATTCATAATGAAGGCATGTATACATAAATACATGATGGAAGAAGAGAATATACAAATATTTATATAACAAACAGGACATATATCCATAATCTGTCGTAAAACCCCAATTAATCCAGCGCTGCGTGCTCCAGACATAGACTTCCCCTCAATCTACTGATATCTGGAAAGTCGTCCGAAAAGGAGCACAAACACCTAATAGAATTAAGGTAGAAAACGAATGATAAAGAAGCATTATGCGCATCACGTCGTGCAGTCGTGTCGAGTAATATAACCAGGCAGGTGCAAGCAGCCAAAGCGAAGTAGAAAGGTTAAGGAAGCGGCGAGGGTATCAAAAGGCGGAAATGAGGCAGCAAGAGGTTAGGTAGAGTTGAAGAAACCGACGCCCAGGAAGCAATAATAAGGATCGAAGTCCGATCCAGTCGAAGAGGTCAAAAAGGAAGAAGAAAAAATAGCAACTAGCATGGCTTGTGGACAAGGCGGAAAGACAGGTTGTAGCGCGCTGATAACACTAGAAGCCCACCTTCGTTCCCACAACAGCCAATGTGATCTGTAACGAATATTAGCAAGAGTGATTGGTACACGCGAAAGAATACCCACAATGATGGTAATGATCACCAGTCCCAGAGGAATCATCCATCGATTAAGATTCCTCCACCACCTAGCGTTTTCGTACCGTTTCCGTTCAAGGTCGAGAACTCGCATTTGAAGTGTCTTTTCACGTCCGGGCTCAGTATCTTCCTGTAAGAGCATTTCCGGTTTAGAGGGCAAGGGAAGAAAGGCTGCTATGAGCCAGGCTGAAGAAAAAGTAAGTAAGCACCAAAGCTGCGATTCCATGTTCGGGTACAAATTGGCACGTACCAAGTGGGAATATGAATCCCAAGCAAAAAGACCATACTTGAATATTTCTGCGTCCGAGGAAAGGCTCTGCTCGGGAGTCCATAGACGGAGCCCCCCATGCACTCCCTCTCGGGCGAACATTACGTCTATCAGGGTACAAATGCGGGGACCAGCTGTGTCGCAATTGATGGCGGGAGTGTCCGGGTCTCTCTGCAACCTCGGGGCCCTTCACCCAATGGCTCCGAGGGTCGCGTGGGTCAGGTTTGCTCATCCATCGTATGCTTTGTCCCGTTTCGTTGGTGCGTGTTCTTGGGCGAGTAGCGGCGGTCGTTAAACGATGGAGCGGGTTGGAGGTGGGAGTTGTCGGACGTGCTGAGGATGGACGACTGCCTTCCACTAAAGAAAGTGCAGAGCCCACAGGTTGCCCATAGTACATTTTAGCCCAGGTAGGCAGCACGTTGAATGCGAAGCTCGAACTAGTACCTGGTCGCTTTGTACTGCGAACACTGCTCTGTCTCGATCCGGATGAGTGGCTACTCGGTACCGCTGGGTTTGCAGGACGGGCTGGAAGACTGGAAACATCGTCCAAGTATTCATCTCCGTCTGTACTATTGATTAACCACACCGAAGAAGACGTCGGTCTCTGACGGACATGCGCAGCAGTAGGCCTAGATGGCTCCAGACTGTTCTCGGCACGATCGGCCGGAGAAGCTGACCTCGAATCATACTCAGCAGACCATCGAGACGTAACTGTAGACAAATGCGATTTAAAGTGCTCCGATGCACCGTCCGCCGTGGTCTCGTGCTGCGTGTTGTTCAGTGAGTCTGCAGAGTGCGAGACATCTACCCTTGAGCTCGCCGACGATGGCGCATGGATGGTTGGATATTGCAGAAATACGCCGCTATCCACAATCGCTTGAATATCTGAGGATGGATCGCTGCGTGAGGAAGAAGTAACGGACCGAGAGTGGCTCCGTTCACGTGCGCGGGTGGAATTTGAGCGCGCTGATGGGCCTTGATAGGGCGGATTGGAACGAAAGGAGTAAGACCGTGAGCTTGACTGTTCAGAAGACGAACCATGGGTCCAGGGAGCGGCTCCTATATACCTGATCACAGTTCCCAGTGAATTCATAGAGGAAAGCGAGTTTGACCGAGAGCCACTGTCTGGGTTGGATGATGCACCAATTGGGACGAAATTCAAACTTGAACTGTCAAGCGCAACAAAATTCGGACTGGATGACGGCCCAATTGGTACTACATTGGGACTAGAATTGCTCGATGCAGCATTTGCAGGGTGTGGCGGTTGACCGGATGACGTGTCGGAAACTACGGTCTTGATCGTTGGAGCAGCTCCAGGTAGCGTATTCGGTTCCTCGTCCGAGTACAAAACATCATCCGACTTGAAATCGATTTCTCTATGCTCTGTGGGCCCAGGTTCTGGAAAAGAGGATTTGCTGGAGGCAGGGTCATCTTCCCACACCTGAGGTGGAGTGTTTGCAGCGTCGAACGTCGAAGATAAGTCCCATGGGTCACCAGTAGATTGCTCAATCAAACTGCTGTCTAGAATATGACTGATTTCTGTTGATAGTGTCGCACTGGATTCATTCGGCATCTCTTCAACGTGGAACCTAGAATCTGGGATGAAATCTTGACCTTTCCCTGGTCGTGGCAAGAGGATATGTTCTGGTTTGGTCGGATACGGAGTTGCCGTGTAAACATCGCATTCGTCCTCCTGGCCATTGTGCTTGTCACTGACAGTTCGTAGGGACTGTGGTGGTGAAACCTCGTTCGTTTGAGAAGAAGTGCGCTCATGAAGAGCCCTCCGTCCTGGAGACGAGGTAGTTGAAGATCCAGTTGGGCGCATGGTGTTGGGGTGATGATTAGTTCATTATCAGGAAGTACCAAAGTTGCAGAAGTGTTTATGATATGAAGAAGGGGGTCACAAAAACAGATGTCTCTATTCAATAAAGAAAGAAAGAAAGAAAAGAAAAGAATAAAAAAAAACAAAAAAGCGAAAAATCCTAAGTTCCAAGCTTAAGATCGTAGAATGGTAAAAGTGAAAATAAAAGTGATCAACAATATCAATGGCTGCTTGTCAAGACGTAAAAAGAACGACAGCAGGTGTGGTCTACGAAGCAAGCGATCGACGACTGCTGCTGTTGTTTTGTTGCTGGTCTATTATTTTTTTTGTGATGCAATAAAGAATGTCTCGACACACAAGCGACGTCAAATGAGCGACAGGCGCGTCCAACGGGACGTAACATTAAAGGAGCGTGGAGCCGGCAGTTGAAGAATCGTGGGAAGTTAGATTAGCTGAGTCATGCCGACCGTGGAAAAGAGAGCGTTGAACCGAGACCAGAGAGCACCGAAAAACGTTTCCAAAAGAGCGACAAAACCCTGAACGACTGGAAGAGAGAAATCCAAGACCTGAAACGAGCCAGTTATGCAAAGCAGGCCCAGTGGTAATATTTAAGCAGCCCCCAGAATTTTGTTGTCTAGCGGCGGTGAACGATGTGAGCCTAAGGTCTGGAACAGGAAACGGATCCGTCCAGGGGCATGCAAGCTGCACGCTCTAGAGCAGTATCTGAAACAGCTCGATTAGTGGGGGGGAATTAAGAAAAAGAAAAGAGGTAGGAATTGACCTGCAGTTCGTCCGCTAAACTGAATTTCCCTGTCGATCGCGTGAGAAGGTAATTGGCCTGCGGTTCAGTCGCAACTCGCCAGGAGGTCTGGATCGCTTGTTCTGCATCAGAAGGTCCTTCGTCATTCGGTTCTAAAACATGTGGCGATCTTCAAGATCTAATTATCTAATTATAAGAATAATTCATAATTCATAATTCTCAACACCGTCACAAATAGTGAGCCGAGTGATCCGGAAATTAGGAGTGGAAATCGAGGCTCGAGGTCATTTCGCTTGGTGTTGATCCGGTTGACACTAAGAGTGGAGGGGCTTAAACGCTTCAGCCCAGTGTTAATATTGGGGGTCAAAATTCGGAGGGCGCAACGAAATCCAGTTGGCTGGCTAGTATTAGTGAGGGACATATGCAAGGCCTCTCTACTGTGCATTACTAGTAGAGGTGTTGCATTCGTACGCAGCAGCATGTCTCTGTATGCTGTAGGGATCTCGTCACATTATCCCAAAGCCTAAAGCCACTTAGTAAGTCTCCACGAGGATGGCCGTCCCGATTGTGACCAATCCGAACGGTGGAGTTCCAGGCTTCAGGGAACAAAATGAACCGGAGGTCGATCCACTACGGCAACTGTGGCTGAGCGAGTCAGAGGAGGCCGAGGTTTCCAGAATGTCTCATTGGTAGCAGAAAGGGGGAAATTGTCTCTTTGTCAATTCGTGCAGGCCAATAATCGCACGAGACTCACCGTAAATCCAGGCGAGACAAAGCCAAGGATCATCCCAGAGCTGCCAACTCAGCAGAAGTGGGGTCGGTCAGGCTGACGGCGCTATTGAACACGAGTTACCGTTGTAAAAGATTTGGCCCACGAATTGTGAGACTGAATAATGCATCTAAAGGATAGAGATATGGCAGATGAGGGGCGGGGTTCCATTCCAATGCATTGGATATTTCATTGTAAAGAGGAACGTTGAAATAGAATTCCGATTGTAGTTCCCTTGGGTCCAGTGACTGTACTGTATCCATGGCGCATGATAAGAGGTGATCCAGCGGTACATGAAAGTCTTGTTTGTAGTGTTAATGCCTTCATAATCAGGCAAACAGCAACAAACTTCTGTTTTCTTTGTCTTTCTTTTTTCCCTTTTGTCCATCGATTATCATCGTTAACGACCTCCAGGAGGATCGTCATTTCAACACTCCTGATGCATTTTGCTACATTACGTAGTCAACCTCTTGTTCATCAATTTGATACTTTATTCTTCCAACATCGGGCTCGCTCAGTAATTCTACCGTCGACGTCAAGCTATTGGTAAGCTCAGGTAGATAGCTATGGCCCCTATCAATATCCTGGCGCGTCTTAAGACGCTCTACGCCAAAAGTTACGGTAGGCCCGGCAATCAGAAATGATCTCGTTTACCTCTAACCGTTCGTCTTCAGATGAACCGGTCATTTCGGCCCAGACGGCAGCTTTCTTCTCGGTATGCATCTGCTCCCGTCTTAGCGCTTACCCAAACAAACTTCTATAAAAATAGCATCATTGTAACCTAGAAAAGGGGCAACCTTCACACCCCTAAAAGGTCTCTCGTTTTTATAGCTGATGAGCATAGTTCGTTTCAGAATTAGCTAACAAAATCTTGCAGATCTGTCTAACACTAGTCTATGTGGTTCCATTCTATGTCACTTCTAGCACTCGACCATCTCCCACCCTCAGCCGAGATGCACCGTCCGTGATCCGGGCTAGAATCAAGGCTGTGACTCTGTCTTGCATCGGGAGCACCGTTGCTGTCTTGTGGCTGATCATCGCCAAGGGTAATTTCTCTCTGTTTGAGGCACTCAGGTTTCTTGGGTGGTGGCCCGTAGGATTCGCGGAGGTTCTTCGCAGCTTGTTCCTAACTGCCATTTTGTTCGCCGGGCCCCTCTTCGAGCGAGGGATTGCCGAAGGTGAGTGGAGAGATTGGATCAAAGGGAACAGGATTTCCGAAACCCTTAGCGGGTGGATCGGATGGAGAAATTACGTCGCTGTGAGTCAAATCCAAAAGGCCCGGATCTGATAGCTAGCCTTCAACTCACAATATACATATCTACAGGGTCCGGTCACTGAAGAGGTCATGTTTCGCTCCGCCATCATACCTCTTCATATACTCGCCAAGGTATCTCCGGGGCACATCGTGTTTACAGCCCCTCTATATTTCGGGATTGCCCATGTACATCATTTTTATGAATTTCGTCTAACTCACCCGGACACCTCCATCCTAGCGGCGCTTCTCAGATCGGTCTTTCAATTTGGCTATACCACCATCTTCGGGTGGTATGCAACTTTCATCTATCTGCGTACAGGATCTCTACCAGCCGTCATCCTCGCTCACACATTCTGCAATTGGTGTGGACTCCCTCGTCTTTGGGGAAGAGTTGAGGCCGGAGTCCCGCTCGGACCACCATTAGCCAAAGGCAAAAACGATACAGATCGAGGGCCAGTTTACGCGTATAACAATCTCAGCATTGGCTGGACCATTGCGTACTATGCAATTCTCGTTGGAGGGGCCACTGGCTTCTATTATGCTCTATGGCCTCTAACGTACTCTTCCAGCGCTTTGGTTGCATTTACAGGGCCGTAAGAAGAGAAGATATGGGGTCATAGTCGGTTAATGTATGGGCCTATGCGATGTAAATGTGACGATCTGTATATGTAATTTTTTATTGAGCTACTCAATATCTCGAAGTCGTCATGGCAAGCTTCATGCGGCATCAAGATTTTTCTCTTCGCCTTCTGCCTTTTTGTGACCCCAAGAGATGGTCCCCATATATTGTGCCTCATACACGTAAATTGTTGATGTTCTCCGGGTCATATCTGAGACCACTTGATTAATTGATAGTACAGAGTACCTACATCGAATTCCCGTTTATCTCCGACACGGCCTCGGAAATTCGGGGATTTATCCCTTCTCGACACAAGCTCAAAATTTCAAAAACAGCGACCGCATTAGCAGACCAACCTAGACATATAAAGGACCGTAGAAGGTGTGCGATTTTCGGGAACTCCCTAGGATTATCGCCAGGTCGAGGTTCAGTTAATATAATTTCGTCAATCATGACGTTGCGCCCCGTGCTCTGCCGCTTAACCAGCAGGACACCAACCGCCCGCTTTCTCTCCACTACCGCATGCTACGCAAGTTCCCTGCGAGTTCCTCTAGACATTCCTCCACCATTTCCAGTGACTAAATCCTGCCCGGAGCCCAGTTGCTCATGCCCTACAACACCGTCGATGCCCGATGGGCTCCCGATTGATTATAACCAGCCGCTGAATGGGACAATGGCAGCCTACGCGCAGCAAATCCTCATCTGCACCGGGCAAAGAGATTGGACAAGTCGTATCGAAGATGACGGGAAACATCATGCCTGGGGGCACCTAGTGAGAGGGTTGAAGCGTCTCTTGGGTCGTGGAGGACGCTATGCTGACGTAGGTAGCGGCCTGGGTCCAGCTATATTTGCGGTGGGCACATTGCTAACAGATGAAGCCTTTCAACAACATCCTTGTTAGCAACTCTTCCTTCTCTCCATCCGGTGCTTCTACTAGTACCCCTTCCACCGCGTCTGCATTTCTCTTTCCCAGCTTCAAATATTTTTCATCCATTCCGACCGAGATACTAGACTCCACGGACGCAGGGACCGACTTGTCTACCTTTGTACAAGCCTTCCTTCTCCCAAAAAAGCTCAGTGCCATGTCCGAATCTCTTCCTGAGGCTAGAAAGGCTGAGTTAACTCGGAAGCTGGAGCTAGAATCCGAATTTACGGATGCTGTGGATCTATGCCACTCTCCTGTTATCCTTATCTGCGGCCACGGTGGGCGTGACATGCGGTGCGGTGTAATGGCGCCGGTGCTGGAGAACGAATTTCGGAGGGTACTTGGTGATAAAGGGTTCACACTGGCGGGCAATGATGATCACACAATTGATAGCCCTGGGCATGCTCACGTGGGCTTGATAAGCCATGTAGGTGGCCACAAGTATGCAGGCAATGTGATCGTATACATCCCTCCGGGTATAACGATGAAGGGTTCTTCCTCCCCGCATCCTCTGGCTGGCAAGGGAATTTGGTACGGCCGTATAGAACCTAGGCATGTGCAGGGAGTTGTGGAAGAGACTATCCTGAGGGGAAAAGTGGTGGCAGACCATTTTCGGGGTGGTATTGATCGAAGTGGGGATATTCTGCGATTGTAGTGCCTTCCCCCGCTCCCTGGGCATTGAGTCTGGGCATCTCATTGTATTATACTCGCCACGGTGTATCAACTTTATCTAATTTCAACACAGTCCAACGTTACTATCAAATATTTCAGGCAGCTACGTCATTAGTCGTGGTCAGGCAAGAACAGACTTACAGCTAACAATGATGACTCGGTACTTACAAGTTACGGAAGATTTAACCGGTCTGTTAGCTTTCCTCAGCTTATGCCACTAGACCATCCTGGCTTTCTGGGAATACTATTAATACTTTTGGACGGGTGGCTTATTCAGATCATAACTTGGGTATATTTGCTCTGTCCCGATTTGGTTGTGGAGTGGGGGTGCTTGTGTCTGGGATAAATTTACGAACTTGTGTGGAAGATATATATATCCTTTAGAATTTGTACTACGTATCATTGAAATGCAAAGTTTTTTATGAGTCCAAAAGACATAAAAGCGGTCAAATATCGTATAAGTATTCTGAACTACGCATTACTAAATTTGGATTAACAGCGCATGCTACCCAGAGGACGAATTGATAACCATATTTTCAGGAGCTGAAGTCGAGCTACAACCATGTGTTTCCTTCCGATTACTGACCGTGATGCAATGTGGCGGGCAGTTTACAAATTTACGGGATCTACCCTAAAACCTCTCCCTTCAGTAGGTCAACATCGTCTGTGACAACCTCTATGATATAATATAAATAAGCATCCAAGCTCCTGCAGAGGAAGCAGTCGAATCTTATGTATGTACTAAGTGGTAGAGTTGTCACTCACGGCGGACACTAACCATGTCTAGCAACTAAATAGAGCCAAAAGAGGCTAGTCTGCATTGGGATTAAGGTACACTGACTGCCGAATGACCTCAACATCTTCGGTATCCTAGTGACTCAATTGCATCATTTTCGAAAACCCCCCCCCCCACAAATGGCACAATGACGAGATAGTCACTATGCTGTCTCTTTCTCGCGTACGATTGAATCCGACTAGGACGTTCCTAGCACAAGCACGATGGAAGCACGGGTGTCGTTTACCTTCAATCCCTGCCTTAACCCGTTTCGCAACGCTCGTAACACCAAAAGCTAATACCGGAAAACTTGACCTACCCGCAATTGACCGAAAATGGCAAGAAAAATGGCATTCCGAGAAGTCGAATCAACCATCCATCGCCTCCAAGACAAAAGGCAACACGGAGAAACCCAAGTCTTATATTCTGTCCATGTTTCCTTATCCGTCAGGTACACTACACATGGGACACCTACGTGTGTATACAATATCTGATGTCCTTGCGCGGTTCTATCGCATGCGCGGTCATGAAGTTCTCCATCCCATGGGGTGGGATGCTTTTGGGTTACCAGCGGAGAATGCGGCGATAGAGCGGGGAATTGATCCGGCAGAATGGACGAAAGATAATATTGCTAGGATGAAGCAGCAACTGCGGAGTATATCTGCTTCCTTTGACTGGGACCGAGTGAGGGAAAAACATGTTGCTTCGTGTCTAGTATTATGCTAACATGTTGCTGTTGCAATACGTTAGGAACTTGCGACGTGTGCACCAGAATTTTATGAACATACACAACGGATATTTTTGATGCTCTATAAGAAAGGTTTAGCATATCAGACGGAAGCTTTGGTCAATTATGATCCTGTGGATAAAACGGTCCTAGCAAACGAACAGGTACACATTGCAACCGGCGTTTTACGTTGGCCCGATACTAACTGTGTGGCTAGGTCGATGCCAATGGCTTCTCGTGGCGGTCCGGAGCAAAGGTCGAAAAGTTGAACCTAAAGCAGTGGTTCTTCCGTATAACTGACTTCAAGGAAGCTCTTTTGAATGACCTGGATTCTTTAGCCGGTGGCTGGCCGGAGCGGGTGCTGTCCATGCAGCGCAACTGGCTTGGAAAGTCTTACGGCGCAAAAGTCAAATTCCCTGTTGCAGTAGAGGGAATCGAACACGGGAGTACGGACATAAATGTCTTCACCACGCGGCCAGATACCCTCTATGGAGTAGAATATCTTGCTTTATCTCTAAACCACCCCATCGTTTTAGCAGTTGCGGAGACAGATTCAAAGCTGCGTAAGTTTTTGGATGAGGCGGCCGCCCTCCCCCCTGACTCCAAGACTGGGTATAAATTGTCCACCGTGACTGCCTCTCATCCATTACATATCATTGACAAGGAGAGCCCTCACATCGCTCGTCGGCTTCCTATATTTGCAGCTCCCTATGTTCTTAGCGATTACGGAGAGGGAGCAGTAATGGGAGTTCCAGGTCACGATTCTAGAGACCTGGCATTTTTCAAAGAGAATTTTCAACCTGAGTCCATATCTGTTGTGATCGAACCCCAGCGTGCATCCGAGGCTGAGTCCGGGGCTAGCGCCGGCCCTCTCCCTGCCGGTGGCGTGAAAGCTTATACTCAAGAGGGTTTTCTTAACTCGAGATGCTGGAAATACCAAGGCCTTCATTCTCGCGAAGCGGGTCAACAAATAATCAATGACCTCAAGGCCGTAGGCCATGGAGACACTGTGGAGCAATGGAGACTGAGAGACTGGTTGATCAGCAGACAGCGCTATTGGGGCGCCCCGATTCCTATCATTCACTGCGGAGATTGTGGCCCCGTGCCCGTGCCGGACGACCAGCTCCCAGTCAAGCTCCCTAAGATAGAAGGGGATTGGCTAAAAGGGAAGAGAGGGAATCCTCTGGAGTCATCGGATGAGTGGGTCCGCACTGAATGTCCGAGGTGTCAAGGTCCTGCGAAGCGGGATACGGATACCATGGATACCTTTGTCGATTCCTCATGGTACTTTCTCAGATTTCTGGATAGCGCCAATAGACAACAGCCGTTTTCACCATTGTCTGCGCGACCGGTTGATATTTATATTGGCGGTGTCGAGCACGCGATCTTGCACCTACTCTACGCCCGATTCATCTACAAATTCCTTGCCAGGTCCGACTTGTTCCCAGAGATTGCTCATGTAAGTGATGTCCCGGGGCTATCGGAGCCGTTCAAGACACTCCTTTCCCAAGGTATGGTTCATGGGAAGACGTACTCGGAACCTTCTACAGGAAGATTCCTCCACCCTTCCGAACTGGATCTTTCTAGCCCCGATAAACCCGTCATCAAGGGTACTCAGATCACTCCTAATGTGTCCTTTGAAAAAATGTCAAAGAGCAAGCACAATGGCGTGGACCCAACAGCGTGCGCCCTTAAGTACGGCGCTGATGCCACTCGCGCCCACGTGCTGTTCTCCGCACCTGTCAGTGAAGTCCTTGAATGGGATGAAGCAAAGATTGTGGGAGTCGAACGCTGGTTTGGCCGAGTTTGGAAGCTTGTGCAGGATGCGCAACAAACACTTGTTTCATCGTCATACACGCTCAACCCAGATGAACTGACGCTGTCCAACCACGCCACAGCCCTCCCCCACTCTCTGCAGAATCTCAGAGACAATGACGCAGATGCTGTTCTCTTTACCCATAGAACTATTTTGTCCGTGACAAGTTGCATAGAACATAACCCTTATGGGTTGAATACCGTTATCTCTGACCTGACCAAATTAACCAATTCGTTGTCCTCATCAACACCTTCGTCCCCACAAGTCCTCTACTTGTGTATATCCTCACTACTTCGTCTTCTCGCACCTATTGCTCCAGCTCTGGCTTCTGAGAGTTGGGAAACTCTCAACGAACCGATAATTGGCCGTTACCCGAAGAATGAAACCATAGACAATGCATATGACGTGCCCCCAATTTTCGACTGTCCTTGGCCAACGGCCCTCCTGACCTCAGAGCAGGCGAATGCATTGTCAGCGCGGGGTGGTCAGACCGTGGCAGTTCAAATCAATGGCAAGTTGCGGTTCACCGTCACAGTCCCACGACAGCTGTCGCCCACGACGGATGAATCGAGTGAGCAGGATTTTATAATCAATCGCATCTTGGAAACCGACGAAGGGCATACTTGGCTGCGTGAGAAGAATGACTGGGAAAAACGGAGGCGCGTAATTGTCGTCAAGGGGGGTAAATTGGTTAATATTGTATTCTAAATTCGAGTTATGCCCGTTATATTGCCAGGGTTCGCAATCGGCATGACCGAGTAGCTATAGACAAGTGTATATTAGAACTTAACACACATCACTCTATGCTTGAGGGGCCATGGATATTTGGTTAATCGTCGCACTTAGACGGACGAGCGTCGAACATCTGGACCAGCGATGTGAAAGGTATTGGGTTGGCGGGCATGACTCGTGCCGAAAAATTGCCGTAACTACAGAGTAGGTTTTTCTCTTTCCTTTCTCCTTGGGCCTTTCTTCCACCCCCCCCACCTTTCTTTACCTCTTCTCTCTCTCTCTCTCTCTCTCTCTCTCTCCATTTTTTTTCTCCCTTTCCTTCACAGTTAATTCCAGCCCCCAACTGGACTTACTCCCTCATGGGAGAATTGGGGTCAAAGGTGCTTGTCCGCCCGTTGCATGATGTGGCCGGAATACGGTGGAGACTCGAATGGAGCTTCCCCTCATAACAAACGATGGCTGTCAAGTTCGACACCCCGGACTGGCGGGTCTCAATGCCGAAGGCTTCCACATTCGGGATCGAAATTGTACTGTACAAACCGGTAGAATTACGGTCGATTCTCGGGCTTAGAGCATCGCCGGGTCTGCGGTTCTTGTAGTTGCGATTATCGGATCTTGTCGATGCGGAGCAATGCGGTCTCGCCAAGCATAACACACAGCCAAAGCAAGCTTTCTGGTTACAGTAAACTGAGGGGAGCTTTGAGAATCTAAGTAATGTGTTGGACTATTTCGAGGAAATTGAAGCCGTTCATCAACCATTATCGGCAATAAAATGAGGGGAAGTGCCCCTCACCATATTTATTAGCAAGGTTAAATAGGTCCCATGGTACTCCGTACTAGATAGGTAACTGGGTCCACAGATCAGGTACGTACTAGTCCTTAGTAGCATATCTAATACTGTACCTACTTACTACTACTACTAAAACTACTACTACTATTATAAGTAGTACGGAGTACTACTAGTAGGAGGAATACCTGGGCAACATACTACTCCGTAGTACATACACTTGCATGTTGACCAATAGGAAGAACCAACCCCTCATGAGGGGTAGAAAGCTACCCCGATCAGGAATAGTACGAGTGGTATCGGGTGCCAACTCCGAGTACCAACAAGGTACTAAGTTGGAGGTACCTGTGTATGTAGTATGTATGTACCAGTCTGTAGATGTAACAGACCTTAGTACCGTACTTGAACCCCGCATTGTTTACCTGGCTTTTTGTCTGTCCAACGCTTTGGAGTTTAGGGTAGACTAGACTATGTTACATGGACATTGTTTTCTAACCATTTTTGATACTGTCCGATTTGAAACCCCCATTTCTTGTCAATCTGCTGATGGGATCCAAACTTTGACTAATGAATGTTCAATGTCCGCTCACCATTTCGAGGGAGTCCCGCGTGCGGAGAAGATTGCGCTCATCGTTCCACTTGTTCTCTTCCACACCCTCCCATACGAATAATTATACGAGGTGCCGTGGTGTCCGCCGCGATCTACTGGCGGTGGGGTCGTAGTCCCATCCAGTCGCCTTTGCTTCTAATCCATGAGTGGGTGGACAAAGGAAAGAAAAGATGAGGAGGGGAAGAAGGGAGGGGTCCCATCCCAGATGGAATGCTACTCAAATGTAGGCGGGGGAATCCATCCTATACTATATATTTAGGCGTAATTCCCCTTCATTCCATTTTATCAACAAACAGAATCTGTCAAGCCTGGATTTGGTAAGTATACCTCCCCAAGTTCTGGATCCCGTCCCATCTCGTACGTCCCATGGCATTTTCCACATTATGCTTTCTGTATCAGTCCCTGCTTCACTTCATTCGATTCTCCAACTTGAATCATCATAGTCATTGACGAAATGTTCTCTGGGGATCGGTTTTAAATAGCCCGCTGACCATCTGATTATAGCATCCATCTTCATTTATATCGAGATCATTATCGTGGCACAATCAATTGAACGCAATTCAAAATGGTATTTATCCGTCCTTTCTCTATTGTTAGTGCGCGGACACTGACCGAATTTACAGGGTAAAATTCTTATGGTCCTCTATGACGTAGGTCCTCCATCGAAAGTGTAGTATCAGAGAGCCATGACATCGATAGCTGATCGCGAACCTTGATTCTAGGGCGGCGAGCACGCCAAGCAACAGCCCGGTCTCTTGGGTACCACCGAGAACGAGCTCGGATTGAGGAAGTGGTTAGAGGAACAAGGCCACACTCTCGTCACCACCTCTGATAAGGAGGGCGAGAACTCGACCTTCGACAAGGAACTTGTGGACGCCGAAGTCATCATCACTACACCGTTTGTGAACCCCGATGCCCCACAGGGATCTCTGTTCTGAACTATTGGTTAATCAATGTTGTAGCTTCCATCCTGGCTATCTCACCGCTGAGCGCCTGGCGAAGGCCAAGAACCTCAAGATCGCAGTCACTGCTGGTGTCGGATCGGATCACGTTGATCTGAACGCTGCCAACAAGACTAATGGCGGTATCACTGTCGCTGAGGTGACTGGCTGTAATGTCACCTCCGTCGCGGAACACGTTGTCATGACCATCCTTACCCTGGTCCGTAACTTTGTCCCCGCTCACGAGCAGATCACCCGTGGTGAGTGGGACGTTGCCGCTGTCGCTAAGAACGAATTCGATTTGGAGGGTAAGGTTGTCGGAACCGTTGCTGTCGGCCGTATTGGCGAGCGTGTCCTTCGTCGCCTTAAGCCATTTGACTGCAAGGAGCTTCTCTACTACGATTACCAGCCCCTTAGCCCCGAGGTTGAGAAGGAAATCGGTTGTCGTCGTGTTGACACCCTCGAGGAGATGCTCGCTCAGTGTGATGTTGTTACCATCAACTGTCCCCTGCACGAGAAGACCCGTGGCTTGTTCAACAAGGATTTGATTTCCAAGATGAAGAAGGGTAAGTAGTACAGTGGCGCACTTAACTGAGGCTTCCTGGACATTGACTAACCTCTTACCAAGGCTCGTGGCTCGTTAACACTGCCCGTGGTGCCATTGTCGTCAAGGAGGATGTTGCTGAGGCTGTCAAGTCTGGCCACTTGAGAGGCTACGGCGGTGATGTCTGGTATCCCCAGCCCGCCCCTAAGGACCACCCACTCCGCTACGTCGAGGGCCCTTGGGGTGGTGGCAACGCCATGGTTCCTCACATGTCTGGTACCTCGATCGATGCACAGATCCGCTACGCTCAAGGCACCAAGGCTATTCTCGAGAGCTACTTCTCTGGCCGTCATGACTACAGAGACCAGGATCTCATTGTTCGCGGCGGTGATTACGTTACTAAGGCCTATGGCCAGAGGAACAAGGCTTAGATCTCTCCAATCATTTTGGAATGAGTGGGTTATAATGATTTCTTGGCGAATGCTTCTGATCTGAATAGCCCTTGAAGGGGCAGGGCGATGCTTACTTATGATACCTAAAATTCATATTATGTTGTTCTTACCTATTATTGACATGAAAAATCTCTGATAAATCACTAAGGTTCCTGCTGCAGAATCGCGTAATAGGGAGTGGAAACCTTGTCTAGCCGCCTACCGACAGAGTATGTTGATATACTAGTAGTACACCCATACGGAGTATGTCTCGCACATACTTTGTTGATCCTTGTGGAGACTGCAGATCAACTGAAGCTTGATTTAACCAACCAGAGCCCAGGACAATCACTTACCACTGCTGTACCTCGTACTAATACTGTAGTACCCGTAATCCGTACATATCAAAGCTAAGGTAACTACTGCGCAATACCCATGAAAAATGTGTACTGAATTTCGGTAGGGAACTGTAATCCGTGGAGTTTACCCACTGTTATTAGAAGCTGGATATATCGGCTGGTAACGCATGTACTCTACCAACTATATCCAATGATGACTAGCACAATTGGCCATAGCGTAATGACCATGGGCTTGAATGGATAAGAATGACCTGGAGAGTGTCTTGGAGTGTTTTTCTATTCTCTTCGCTCACCATATAGCATCAGTGGTACCTACTACATATTATGGGCTACCGATGCTATGGCGCGGCATAATTGGAATGAAAGGCCTTATCTCAAGTTGTATTGCGATTGACGTACCCTTGGCAGGCATACTGAATACTACTTTCCGCCGGGTCCGGGAAGTGTCGTCTACAAGGCTAGCTTACGGCCTGGAATCAAACTGTCACGCAATACAGAAAGGGTACGTTGGAGATGATAGTTGGTGCAACGGACGTGGTCGCTGGTATTGCTCTTGTTTAAACCGTTCCAGACGCCATACGGACCTGTAAATGTCTACGAAAGGAATATCAATGCCCTCTTGAACCTTGTCGACCATCTCCCTCTTCATCACTGTCGTCCATAAACCCTTCTTCTAGCTCACGACTGAGTCGACTTTCTGCCTCGGCAACAGTACTGCGCCGTCGTTCCAGGGCCTCCCTTCGTGCAGGATCCATATCCATCCCGACCATGATCTCTCCTTCTTCGTCAAAGATACTAATGTTATCGTGTTGGTCGTCAAACCGTGCTTGTTGTCGCCATGCTGCCGGTAGGAATAGACGCATCATTGCATCAGCGATACGGTCCCGTAGTGTAGAGGTATGTGCCGAGATGGTGTGTAAGGGAAGATATTGTGAATATCGTTGGTGATAGCGACGGAAGAAAGGGATTATAAGGAACGACAAGAGAAGGTAGAGCGCCAGGGAGATTGCAGCTGGGATGACGATGGTCTAGACGATAGTGATGGATCTAGATGAGCACATCTTATCACAGATTGATGAGAAGCGAATATACCTTGGCGAAGCTTGATGCTGAGCCCATTTCGACTGCTTTGCCGGAGCTTAGTTCCACCAGTTGCGACGGTATGGGCTATGCTACCAAGGCTGGCTTGGAGGTGCAATGATAGGCAGTGGTATGATTAATATGGGGACTTCATAATCATGGTCTGCATGATTAGATATATCTCCAAGTATTGGTAATATATCTCGTAGATCGACTACCGATTAAAACCATCGATGCAGCCTGCTATAGGAAGATAAGGATCCGGATAGCGTACGAAGTACTCCGTATATATGGCGTCTCTTAGGCCACCTCTTTCTCCGATTGAATCCACGTGACAAGGAGATATAGGTATGGATCACGTGCAAATGCGGCCCCTATCGCGTTCTAGAGCCCGCATTCCCCCTAATGCCCGTGCTTCAGCCCTGACATGCGAAGAGACACCGGCAAATAGGGTCTGGACGTGGAAAAGACCCCCTAGAAGGCTAGGTTTGCTAGAGTTGATAGGATCGCCACTTTTTGCTGCGGTCTGTTCAAGTTGCTGTGGGTTTCAAAGAGAAAAGAATTCGTGTATCTGGCCCCTCTCTCTTCTACCGCTGCTCCGCAGCGGGTATTAACTACTAGTTCCAGCCAAAGTGCGAGGAACCGTATATCCATTTGAACCTGATACTACCCTTGCTATCTCATAGGCTGGGAGCGGTAGGTGCTGTTAATAATCTGGAAGGATCTTTCTAGCGCCCAACGGAAGTCTTTGTGTGCTGTGAGCAACGCTCATGCTGCGCCCTGCTCTTTCCCAGCGACGTCCGTCAAAATGCCAACCACCACGTCCTCACCTGATAAATCAAGACAAACCTCGGCTGGCAAATCGTTCTTTGGGAGGAAGCTGCACAAGGAAAAGCCAGTAGAGGATCGATATGACGGGGGCGGATCATTCGAAAACCTGGCGCCTCCCGGGAGTTCAGCTGGCTCTCGGTCGTCTCGACATTCCAAAAGATCATCTGTTCTGTCTGTAGATTATCCACAGGATATTGACCCCTCTGGACTGTCAATGACTGCCGGTGTCATCACGTCGATCCCTTTCGAAAGTCTCCCCGCCGATACCAAGACGCCCATCTCAATCGAGTACCTATCTAAGCCCGAACCATCGCGAAAAGAGCAAACGTCCAATCATCCGTCACCCAATCACTTGGCCAAAGGGGCCAGTGACTTCCATCAATACCCTGCGTGGAACCCTTCTTCCGTCCGAGATAACAATACATACTCACATCCGACTGGTCCTCGTCCACCACCGCATGCCTCGAATTTAACAATGACTGGAAGTAATACGGGGGATAAGGGTGCCCGGTACCAACAATGGGGGCGACCAGGAAGTTCTGCCGCCAATACCGGATTCAGTCACAACTCTTCTTCGACGGTTGACTCATCTAATTCACGTATATCTTTTGACCAGGCTAGCGTCCATTCCTCGCTTTCTTCGAACACCCGCGGTTCTAGCTATTTCTCGTCTGATGGATCATCCCGTACGTTTACGACTCATTCGGCTGATCGAAGTACCTATTTCCCGGGTGGGAACCCAAACCGACTTTCGACTCAGTCGAACTGGCAGCCACCGCCAGCTGCACAGCCGAGGCCTTCCCCAATTAACGCGGAACAATATCTCGCTCGACCGAGGGACGATCGTGTTGTCGACCAGTTATTCCTGGAATTGATGCAGAAGCGAGGCTGGCAGAACCTCCCGGAACAGGCGAAGAGACAGATGCTCGCATATCCGGCTTCTAAGAAGTGGACACTTGTTCATCAAGACAGGCTGACAGAACTGCAAGGGGAACAAAAGCGCAGGCAGAATGCACGACAGACACACGGTCATGACGGCCCAGCTGGTATTCTTGAGCGAGCGGATGAAGAGGGAAGCCCAGAGTGGTACGTCAAGAAGGTCATGGATGACTCTATCACATCGAAGCAGCTGGCTAGCTTAAGTGTCAGCCTGAGGACACAACCAATTAGCTGGGTGAAAGCCTTTGTCGAGGCACAGGGTCAAATAGCTCTTACGAACGTTCTCGCGAAGATCAACCGCCGCAAAGTTTCAGGTCCTGTCCCGGCCCCTCCAACTGGTGATAAAGATTTAGACCGCGAATATGATATCGTCAAGTGTCTGAAAGCCTTGATGAACAACAAGTATGGTGCGGATGATGCTTTAGCTCACCAGCAGGTCATTATAGCTCTTGTGAGCTCGTTGCTCTCTCCTCGGCTTAATACTAGGAAACTAGTCAGTGAGGTCCTGACCTTCCTATGCCACTGGGCTGAAGGACATGGCCACCAGAAGGTTCTCCAAGCCATGGATCATGTCAAGAATCATCAAGGCGAAACCGGGCGTTTCGATGCCTGGATGCGGATAGTTGAAGTAACAATCGATGGTCGTGGGAAAATGGGTAGTCTAGTAGGTGCGAGCGAAGAATATCGCAGCGGTGGCATCGGGATGGAAAATCTTCTGATGGAGTATGCCGTTTCCACCATGCTCCTCATCAATATGTTGGTGGATGCGGGGGAGAATGACTTGCAATTGCGATGCCATATCCGGGCCCAGTTCATCTCTTGTGGAATCAAACGCCTTTTGACAAAGATGGAGGGCTTTCAGTATGAGGTCATCGACAAACAGATAGAGCGTTTCCGGGAGAATGAGGCCATTGACTACGAAGACCTTCTGCAGCGGGAGAGCAGCAGTATGAAAGACAGCATCGAGGGCGAAGTGAAGGATATGAGTGACCCGCTGCAAATTACCGACGCCATTGCAACTAAAATCCAGGGGACCCGAGCTCACGATTATTTCCTCTCTGCTATGCAACATCTACTCCTAATTCGTGAGAACTCCGGTGAAGATGGTTTACGCATGTATCAGCTTGTAGATGCTATGCTTAGTTACGTTGCTATGGATCGGAGACTTCCTGATCTTGATCTCCGACAGGGCTTGACTTTTACCGTACAGAGTCTTCTAGATCGGCTTCATACAGATGCAGAAGCGAGACGGGTATATGATGAATCTCTAGAGGCCCGTCAAATTGCGGAGGCTGCAATCGCTGAACGGGATGAGATGAAGGCACAGATTGAGCTAGGCGCGGATGGCTTGGTTAAGAAACTACAGAAACAGATCGATGAGCAAACAGGCATCATCGAGCTTCAGTCGCGACAAAACGAAATGATTAAAGCTGAAGTCGCCGATCTCCAAAGGCTTCGGGCTCAAGAGCTTCAGCGCAATGAGTTGGAGACCCGTGAGCTTTATTTGATGCTTCGAGATGCTCAGGATATAGCTGCGTCAAATGCTAAGAAGAACAACATGGCTGAGACAGATCCTTCGCATATGAGAGGTATCTTAGACCGTGAAAAACTCTTGGAGAGGTTGGAAATGCAACTCGAAAGGACGAAGACACAGTTCAAGCTAGAAGGCAAAGTCTGGGGGCAACATGACCCGTCGGACCGGCTACGAGAGTTACGGGAGCAAATGGATGGTGAACCTGAACCCAGCGATGACTTCCAGGAACATGCGCGCCGAAATCTAGATAGCAACGCCCTAGGATCTGTTTATCGAAAAAGGAGCCTTGTTCCAGGAGATGATGCCGCCGGTGAGGGTCTGGGGCAGACTAACAATGAAGATGGTGAAATTATGTATGAGAAAGCACGTCTTGTGGACATCCAGCGACCTCGGATGAACCCTGCTCAGGCCACTGGCCTTCTCGGCGAGATTGCGGCGAAGGTACCTAAGATTGACGCCGAGGAGGGCGAAACGAAGGCGGCTGCTGACGGATCGCCTTCCCTTGAATCAGAGACCCCGGCTATCAGAGTGGACGAGCCGAAAGAGAAGAGCCAGGATAGAAATGTCGATTCAGCTGCTGGTGCTGGGCCTCACCCTCCCCCGCCACCTCCCCCACCCCCACCTCCAGGGACGGGGGCAGGTGTCCCGCCTCCACCGCCGCCTCCACCGCCGCCTCCCCCTCCCCCAGGCTCTGCAACAGGTGTGCCTCCTCCGCCTCCCCCTCCGCCACCCCCTCCACCCCCAGGGATGGGGGCAGGGATTCCCCCGCCGCCTCCTCCCCCGCCGCCTCCTGGTGCCGCTGGCAAAATTCCCCCACCTCCGCCTCCTCCACCCCCTGGCGCCTCATTTGGCGCTCCTCCTCCTCCACCCCCCCCTGGCGCTTCATTTGGCGCTCCTCCGCCACCACCCCCCCCTGGTGCCTCAGTTGGAGGATGGAGAGCAAATTACATGGCTTCCCAGGTCGTTCCCTCCAAATCAACGGTCTTTTTGCCATCAATTAGGCCTAAGAAGAAGCTCAAAGCACTTCATTGGGAAAAGGTTGATGCTCCTCAGGTGACTGTATGGGCATCTCATGCACTAACTCCTCAAGCGAAGGAGGAGAAGTATACCGAGCTTGCCAAAAAGGGTGTATTGGATGAAGTTGAGAGGTTATTCATGGCGAAAGAGACCAAGATTTTTGGAGGCAGTGCGGCAGCCAAGCAGCGCAAAGACAAGAAGCAACTTATCTCTAATGAATTGTCAAAGAATTTGCAGATTGCCATGGCAAAATTCTCCCAATACCCTGCGGATGACGTTGTGCAGATGGTTATTCACTGTGATGCGGATATCCTTGACAACCAGGTTGTCATGGATTTCCTACAACGTGATGAACTGTGCACAATACCCGAAAACATATCCAAGCAGATGGCACCTTACAGCAGGGATTGGACAGGTCCGAATGCTGCTAGCTCTGAGCGGGAACAAGATCCGGCTGAGCTTACGCGTGAAGATCAAATTTATCTATATACTGCTTTCGAACTGAACCACTATTGGAAGGCGAGAATGCGTGCCCTTGCACTGACTCGCTCCTACGAGCCAGACTACGAACATATATCCGCTAAGCTTCAGCAGGTTGTGAAAGTGAGCGAATCGCTGAGGGATTCAGTAGCTCTGATGAATGTGCTTGGCCTGATCCTAGACATAGGAAATTTCATGAACGATGCTAATAAGCAAGCTCAAGGTTTCAAGCTGAGCTCTCTCGCTCGGTTGGGTATGGTAAAGGATGACAAGAATGAAACCACCTTTGCAGATCTTGTCGAGCGGATTGTTCGCAATCAATACCCAGAATGGGAAGGGTTCGTTGATGACATCAATGGTGTCGTCGCCCTGCAGAAACTTAATGTCGATCAGTTGCGAACAGATGCTAAGAAGTACATTGACAATATTAAGAATGTACAGGCGAGTTTAGACGCTGGTAATCTAAGCGATCCTAAGAAATTTCACCCGCAAGATCGCGTCAGCCAAGTCGTTCAAAGGAGTATGAAGGATGCTAGGCGCAAGGCCGAGCAAATGCAGCTCTATCTTGAAGAGATGATTAAGTCGTACGATGACATTATGGTCTTCTACGGCGAAGACAACACAGATGAGGGCGCTCGACGAGACTTCTTTGCCAAGTTGGCTGCTTTCTTGCTTGAATGGAAGGTAAGCTAGGTTTGGGCCTAATCTAGAGCCCTATGCATACCTGGATATTTTTGGCTAATGAGACATCGAACCACAGAAATCCAAGGAAAAGAATATTTCGCTGGAAGAGGCTAGAAAGCGTACCGAAGCATCGCTTGCTCGCAAGCGTAATAATGCTGCTCTTGCAAATAATGCTGGCTCGGGTGAAGTGTCACAACTGCCTGCCTCAAGCGGGGCCATGGATTCTCTTCTGGAGAAGTTACGAGCCGCAGCACCTCAGGCCAGAGATCAGCGTGACCGTCGGCGTCGTGCTAGATTGAAGGAGCGACACCAGGTTCGCGTGGCTTCGGGCCAACGGATGCCGGACCTACCTGGAGCTGAAGGAGTGGAAGGTGGTGGAACCAATGAGGGGAATGAAGTCAGTGACAATGTTGCCAATAGCGATGAACCAAATACTGCAGAGGTAGGGCTTCTGAGCCCCCCCACCCTACGCTCAGAATCTGGAACCACAAGCAAAAATTCTACTCAGATCTCAGAGAGTGAAGATGTTGCAGATCGTGCTGCAAGCATGTTGCAAGGTCTAAGAGATAATACCGATGGGGAGCGGTCCAGAAGACGAAGGGAAAGCGCCGAAGAAGAACGTCGAAAACGCAGATTACGAAGACGGAATGGGCCGACGGCTGGGAGTAAAGACAGTGCCGACGGCTCTGCCCTGTCCCCAGTACCGGAGCCCATGACACCGTCAAGAACTGACTCGAATGGTTTAGAAGAGCCTATAGCTACTAGTCCAGAAGATGCCTCTTCGCAACGACCGGTTACTCCAGTCATCGTCGTGTCTCCAACAACAGAACAACATCACCACCCTTCAAGCGATGATGAACCCAATGCCGACTCTCCTGGCAGATTTTCCGAACGGTCAAATTGATGTTTTCGCCTATCCGGCTTACTTTTCATAACCCCTGCCTGCTTCTCTGTCTCACCCACTCACTTTCGCTCTTCTTTTTCTCTTCTTCTTTTTCTCCTAATATAATACTTGATAGACTAGGGGACGTCGCCTTGGAACATTTTGCCTTGCTGAGTGTATAATATCTAGTCCCACCCCCCTTTTTTTTGTCTTTCTCTTCTTTTTACTTCCTATTTGCATCTGAGTTGTCTGCGTTGAAGACACAAGGCTAGCATAACGGGTCCCTCCCTTCACTGTTCTCCCTTTACGTCCTTTCTCTTTTTTATTACTGGATTTCTTGAACTTTATCTCCAAGAGTACATTTGTTCTATCCACCTTCTTGCTTCTACAGCGAGCGACTCCTTGGTTTCCAATTCCCATCGGAATGATTTTCAGCTTACGTCTCGATTTCCCTATTTGTACATACATAACGTCATATTTCCTTCTACTGGGCTGTACGGGTGATATCTCCTTTGATGTGCATGGTTAGCAATTGGTTGTTGCATGTCGGTTGTGGTGGGTAATCGAGCGGCTTTTTTTTCTCATGGCGTATGGCCGCGTTTTTCGACGCGCAGGCGTGACGAGGTGACGCAGCTATCATTGATATACCTTCAAACATTCATCTTATGGAGTCGGTGGTTTCTATGCATCAGACACGCACGTGGCTTGTTGTAATGTATCTTATCAACGGCGGAAACCATACATGACAACTTCGCTCTAGGGACCGTAGGGACATAACAGATCCGAGCAAAAAACAAATAAATCAATAAATAATTGATTAATCAAGTAAAATGAGGAAGCATATATGTATGTCTATTAATATATAATAAAGAGAGCAAGGAGGTAAAAATGCTCTAGGAAAAAGAGACAAAATGCATATTATTGATCTCCCATGTATCCACGTGACCAGACGCGATAAGTCAACTCATCCACCTTGGAGAATCTTTTCTTTTGACTATCATACTTATTGTTTGACCTCGCCGCAAGTTCCGTTCTGCGCATGCAGGTGTCGTATTTTCGAAATCTGCGTCGGGTGATTCCCTTTCGCCTGCCATGGAGCAGGCATAGCTGCGCTTTCCCTCGGGACAATGCCTATTCCTCCCGCTATGTCTTGTTTCCACCTCCGGCGGTACCGCAAAGCCGAACGTTTTCCGCTTCGAGACCGACACAGTCACATATAGACGGAGACTCTACCATCTACGCCCTTTCGACCGCATCTGGTCGAGCTGCCATCGCGGTTGTGCGGGTATCAGGTCCGGGGTGTGTGCGGGTAAGCTGAACTTAGGCATAGCCTGTTGGGCTGCTAGGTGACTGATGTTATCTTTCACCATTAGGTATATCAAGCGCTATGTCCAAAAGCGCTGCTTCCCCGGCCGCGCTTTGCAGCTGTACGGACTTTATTTGACCCTACGCGTGAACCTTCCAGCGGCAGTGTCCTTGATGCAGGGGCCCTCGTGTTGTATTTTCCAGCCCCCAAGACAGTTACAGGGGAGGACGTTCTTGAATTACACCTTCACGGTGGGCCAGCGATCGTTAGGTCTGTGCTTACAGCTATTTCCCGTATGAGTCAACCGGATTCGCTCGTTCGTTACGCCGAACCCGGCGAATTCACCCGCCGTGCTTTCATGAACAACCGACTGGACTTGCCGCAGATAGAAGCTCTGGGCGATACTTTATCTGCGGACACAGAACAGCAGCGTCGCCTGGCTGTCAGAGGTGCTAGTGATGTGTTGTCTAGGCGATATGAGCAGTGGCGGCAGCAACTACTCTACGCACGTGGGGAACTTGAAGCGCTGATCGATTTCGCTGAAGACCAGCATTTTGACGAGTCTTCAGATGAGCTGGTACTCTCAGTGGCGGCGCAAGTGCAGGTACTACGGGTCCAAGTCGGGTTCCATATCCAGAACGCCTCCAAAGGGGAGCTATTACGTCATGGCATCAAAATCGCTTTGCTTGGGGCACCCAACGCGGGTAAGAGTTCTTTATTGAACCGGATCGTAGGGAAGGAGGCTGCTATTGTTAGCACCGAAGAAGGAACCACCCGTGATATCGTGGATGTTGGAGTCGACCTGAGCGGATGGTACTGCAAGCTTGGGGATATGGCCGGAATCCGTTCCGAGCCTGTTGATGGGAAAGGATCGGTTGTGATCGGGGCTGTTGAAAAAGAAGGTATTCGGCGCGCCAAAGCTCGCGCTCTAGAATCCGACGTTGTTGTTGTGGTCTTGTCTCTGGAGAAAAGCACCTTCGATGACATACCGTATGAGCTATCAATTGAGCAAGAAGTAGTAGAGGCGGTCAATGACTGTGTTGCAGCCGACAAGTGCATTGTTATTGCAATTAATAAATGTGACCGGCTGCCCTTGGATGTCCAGAATCGTCAACTTTTACCAAAACAGTTGCTCGCCTCAGTGGGTGATCTCTTTCCCACTGTGTCGCAGAAGCGTATCTTCGGCATCTCTTGTCGTGAGGCGCAACTGGATTCCGCACTAGAGCGGAAAGACCCGGGCCATCTACAGGAATTCCTCCGGGGGCTTATCTCAACTTTCGAAGAAATTGCGTCTCCATCGGGTATCGAAGGTGATGCGGACGGAGAATATAATCTGTCATATTGGGAAGATTCTCTAGGAGTGACGCATCGACAAAGTTCTAATCTACAAAGATGCCTGCAGCATTTAGATGATTTCCTGACCCAAACTTCCAGAAGCCATTCACCGCCAATGCTAGGCCACGAACATGAGCAGCAGCCTATTGAGATGGAAATAGATATCGTGACAGCCGCCGAGCACCTGCGCTTTGCGGCCGATGCATTGGCGAAAATAACCGGCAAGGGGGAGAGCGGTGATGTGGAGGACGTTTTGGGGGTTGTGTTTGAGAAGTATGTCTCGCCGCTTATCTGGAGAGGCGTTGGCTCTTTGCTAACTGTGTACTAGATTTTGCGTTGGGAAATGAACCGCTGCAGCGTGCGCCAACAGGGCCGCTTTAAGGATGCCGCTGTGCTGTCCTAATTCACCTTTCACTTCACAGGGACCGTCCGTGGCCGTCCCTCGTGCGTGCAGAAGAAGCTGTCGATGGTTCAGGTAACCCAACTCTTTCTGCCGTTATCTTTCGGGTCATTGTAACCGCCGCGACCTTGCATGGCGGCGAAGTTGAACGGACCGGTTGTGTGAGGAAGGAAAGTCTGGAAGACTAAAGGGCCGTTATAACCTCCTCGTCCCATAAACTGTTTGGTGTGAGTCGAGCACCAGTTGGGCCGGTTACCCCATGTACCCATCGTCACCCAAGACCTTTATAGCTACGGACTATCGTGGGATGATGTCAGAGTCGAGTTAGGGAGGTAGAAAGGGGGTCTGATGGCAATAGTAGGAAGAGTGCAAAGACAAGATTAGGATCATAGAGGCGGATGAGAAGAAGTGATGAAAGAACAGAGGATGAAGAACGCTTGGTATGGCCTCAACTTTGTAAATATTCTAAATAGTAAGGAGAAGAAGAAGAAGAAGACCATAGGCATGAGTTGTTTTTATACTTAATGGTCCTCAGGGCCAAATCATGTCTGCCTCAAGGCATCCACGGCAATGAAGCAAAGCAGCTATGACTAACTGTCGTTGATTCATGCTGCCTGCCAAGGTTGTTTTCTTCTGGTCGAGTCCTGAACCATCGCTTTGCTTCTCGACTTTTCCACATGATCTTTAAAAAGTGAGGTGTCTCTCTGGTAAATGTTTGCTTCACTTTCCCAATAGGGTGTGTACGACACCTCCAAGAACTACTGCCGAAGGCATTCCAAGTCCACCATGGCATTTTCGATCTGTTAAGATTCCTCTACTACTACTACTACTACTACTACTACTACTACT